CGAACCGCCGCGGAGGAGCCGGCCTGCTCGACCCTCACCAGCCCACCGCGGGCCCGCGGCCCTCCAGGCCCCCCATCCGCCCCGCTCCGGCCTCCGCCTCTGTCGCCTCCCTCCCTCCGTGTCTCACGCAGGGACTCTGGTGCAACCCCGTCCTGAAAGCCCACAGCCGCCCATTCCGCTGCCGCCTCGGCCCAGGCATTCCCAGCCAGTCCAGCTCCAGCTGGACCCGTCTGCGGCCCACCCAGCCCTGCGAGGACCCGGGCCTGCCACAGCCGCCGTCTCCCTCAGATGTCCACACGTTGTGATGTCAGCCACCAAGCCTCAGCTCTGCACAGCGCGGGCTCGGGCGTGAGCAGGCCCCCTTCCCTGCTCTGTGTTCCATTTTGTCCACCTCTCGTCCTGCAGGGATCATCCGCAAGGACCTTCTCTGTGAAGTGCCCCCGGGGGGGCACCTGTGCTGGGCGCACTTTGTCTTCATTCCAAGGTTCCTGTGTCTCAGGCTTCCGGGGCCCTGCACCAGTCTCTGGTGAGCTAAGCTGGGCTCGTGGGATCCCTTCACCTTTGGGTTTGTACTAAAGTGTGGTTTCCAAACTGGCTCCTCCACTTATTAGCGCTGTGTGACTTCAGGCAAGTTACTGAACCTCTCTGAGCCTCAGCTGGCTCTTCTGTAAATGACCACGATAGTTGTGTCTGCGCCCTAGGGCAGTATGAGGCTCAGTTGAGCGGGACAGTGCACGGACAGCAGTTCACAGAACTGGGGGGGGGGGAGGTCACACTGCGGGTGGGGGCTACCGATGCAGACAGGAACATACTTTTCTCAAGTTTATATTCCCAGCACCAGGGATGGTGCTTGACATACAGTGAATCCTCCGATGTTTGGTGGATTGAAATGTATGATAGACCTGTGTTTTCTCATTTAGGCTTTACCTATTTTGAGGATTTTTTAAAAGTGTAGGTTAATTCGCAGCATTTTTACTGTAATAAATAAACATGAATTTTACTTTTATAATCGTACAGTTCGCTGCCAGTAAATACAGTCGCACTGTGCGATTTAATCTCTAGCAGCCATCACCGGCCGAGGAGGAGAAGCCCAGCGGAGGCAGGCGGTGGGCGGGAGTAAAGGGGTCCCAGGCTGCCCGGCCTCGGCCTGGCCCAGCCTCTGCACGGCTCCTCCGCTCAGCACTGCTCCGTCAGCGGGAGCCCCGCCGCAGCCGAAGTGGCGCCCGGCAAGGACACGGAGCAGGGCCGGGGCCGCGGCATTTGGGCCCCAGCAGTTTTCCTTTATGAAGTTTTTAATAACCTGCGTTCCCACATAAAAACCTTATTCTGCTTTCTCTTGAAAACCAGGAGGCTCTGGCAGCACTGGGCCTGCCCCGGGATGAGCACTCTGGGATGGCCGAGCAGCACCGCCGGGGCAGAGGTAAAGTTTCCGACACGGGACACATGGGGGCACATTCCGGGCACGCACCTGTGCACCGGCGCCCCCGGGGTTTCGGGCCCAGAAGGCTCCCTGCAGAGACGCCAGCTCTGAGCAAACCAGTGCGTTCGGTCAGCACAGCCAGCCACCTGCTGGGGGTCCCCATCACCTGCCAGTCACCTCAGACTTTTGCAGGGTCCCCACCTCGCTGTGCAGGTTAAGAGAAGATACCCAAGCGCAGGCCGCCTCTCCAGCGCCCTCCTTCTGCAGGTCCTCCAGCGCGGCCCCAAAAGCGCACCTCGGGCCAAACTGCACCACATCCTTGTCAAGGCTTAAAACCAGCTCCTGGGACTGGGCCTGGGACCTGTGATCAGGGCCCCACGAACTTCCCTTCCCTCTTGGGACTTGATATCTGTGGCACCTTCTTGGCCTCTGTTTTTGACTCCATCCTTTCAAAAGCTGAAGGAAATGAGGGTTCTTACCAAGCCTTTCTCCCAGTTTACCTCAAAATGCAGGGCAACTGTGTCCCTTGGAATGTTCCTGGAAGAGAACTCAAGACAGCCAGGAGATAGAAAAGTCAGTCAGGTGAGGCGGCTTTGAAATGAAACAAGTCTGTGCAGTGACGAGTTCCAGACCGCCCTACAGTCTTGCTTGGCAGGTAGAGATGCATCCCCGATAGCGCGCCAGATGTCACACCTGCTCTTCCAAGACATTTGCTTTTATCTTCAGCAGCTCCGATGGAAGCGATACGGAGAAAAGACTGCAGCCTTGTTTCAGCAGGGACTAGAGTGTTTGTCTCCCGACACGGGAGAGGAGCAGATCATCTGAGTGCTTCCAGTCTAGGGCTTAACAGATTGTTAAAAAAAATCAAATACGTTAAAACAAAACAATACGAAACAAAAGCACAGAGAGGCAGTCACACATTTTGCAATCACTTGTGTCAGGGAAATAACACGCTCCTGATCTAAGAACCAAAAGCCATCTAAAACAAGGTGCCCGGTTTGACTCCTCCAGGAGAAAAACAAAGGCATCCAGAAATTAGCTACCAGTTTTTCAGAACGCAGTCACTTGGCACCTCTCACGGTGATAAGCTCCTCCGAGACTCATTTTTGCCAGAAGTGGCAACCTCTTCCCAGGCAGGGGTCTGAGCAGCTCCCCACCCCTTCCTCCTCGCTCTTCCTGTCCACTCCTCAGCCCTGGTGGGACTTTCTGGCTTGGCCAATGTGAGTGCTGAGGCTCCTTGGCAAGTCACACAAACCAACTGCAAAGCGGCTCCAGCGACACAGCACGGCCCCAGGAGCTCAGAAGCACTAATGCTCCAACCTCCCTCCAGACGTTTGCCAGGACCTGGAATCTGCTCCCATCACCTTCTCAGCACCCTTTTAGCTCAGAACCCCACGAGGGAGACTGATCCATCTCACAAGCTCCTCTCGTGGCAGTCCACCCCTGTCAGGGCCCCCTGACAGGCGGCTCCTGCGGTCAGGGTTTCCCGGAGAAGTGTGCAGCGGGCCGGCCGGCCAGGCAAGGCAGGACTCGGTCGCTTCACACCACTGGGTTTTGGGTAGTGGCTGCGGCAAGCGTGGGGCCTGTCCTGCGTGCATTGCTTCCAGCAGAGGAGCCCTATGCTTAGGAGCTGAGAGATCACATGGTTTTTTCAGGGCTGAGGTCGGGCGGGGTTGTGGTGGTTTTCCCTGCCTGCCATAATAAATTTTCCCAAACTCAGTGGTTCAAGGCAGCATAAATATACTGTCTTTCAGTTCTATAGGTAAGAACTCTCATGCAGGTCTCACTGGCTTTCTTTGAGGAGACTCCAGGGTACAGAACCTGCTTCCTGGCCTTTTCTAGCCTCTGAGCCATCGGCTTACGGCCCCCACCTCCACTTCAGAGCCAGGAATATTACGTCTTTCTTGGAAGCTTCTTCTGTCACCGCCACTCCCTCGCTCTGACCACAGATGGTGAAGATTCTCTGCTTTGAGGAGTCATGTGACCAGATTGGGCCAACCCAGATTTTTGAGGACAAACACCCCATCTCAAATATTTAACTTTAATCACATCTTCAAAGGGTCCTGTTTTGGGTTGAATAATTCAGATGTTGAAATCCTAACCTCCAGAATGTGACCTTATTTGGAAATAGGGTTTTTGCAGATGCAATTAGCCAAGATAAGATCTTAAACTGGGCCCTAATCCAACAACTGGTGTCCTTTAGAAAATGGAGAAATTGGGACATAGACCTAGAAAAAGACACTGTGGAAAGATACAGGGAGAAGACCGTCATCTACAAGACAAAGGGAGAGACCAGGAACAGATCCTTCCCTCACAGCCCAAAGGAGGAACGAATGCTGCCAACTCTCCGGAGCTGTGACACAAGAAATTCCTGTGATTTGAGCCATCTAGTTCATGGTACTTTGTAACACTAGTTACTAACACGGCCTGTTTGCCTTGTCAGGTAGCATATTCACGGGTTCTGGGGATTGTATCATGGGCATCTTTGGGCAGGGAGGGGCATTACTGGGCCTACCACCGAGTTAGATGGCGGCTCTTCACCAGAGTGATCATTTCATTTTGTATTGGTTTGTGCTCAGTAGCCCCTTTCTACCGTAAGTTACAGAATGCACTGGACCATAGGTCTGTGCTTCTCAGCTCCCCTGCCAGAACAAGAACACACTCAAAACAGTGGGTCTGCGGATGGCAGCACTGCCCAGGTTCAGGCATGCTGTAGACCACAGTGAAAGGTGCTAGCGTTTTCTGTCATGTTTTAGGTGAACAGTTTTTGTGTTTGCAAAATCTAATAAGATGGACATTGTTAGCCACGTTCACAGAACCTATCGAAACATGTGTACCATTGTACCTTCCACTGTGAATTCACCCTAAGTTCCCTCCCTTAGCCCACAGTGAGCAAGGGTTCTTCACGGCCTTTTGAACCAGCTCCTTCATCCCCAAGTGGTCCAGTCGGAAGTCGGCAAGGACCCCTCCCTGTGGGTGCCGGGCTGCCTGCTGGTTCAAGCCAGATGCCAGACGGCAGGATGTGCGGTAACGTAACAGTTAATGAGGCATGAAGACAGTGTCACAGAGTGAAAGTGTCAGTGTTAATGAGGTGACAGGCTGTGCTCACTACATGTGCTCCATGTCCCCTCCACGGCCCCACCCCGGTCCACGTGCTCTCACTCGGATCATGACACTGCCCTAGACGGTTCCTTGTCTTCTGTCGTTTTCACCCTCTAGTTTTTCGGAATCAGGAAAGATGAAAGTGTCGCATGGAGCCTTGATCGGATAATACCGTTCATCTGCTCAGGCTCAGAGACATCAGTGACTCCCCACAACCCACGGATTCAGTTTCTGACGCTGGCACAGGAGTTCTAGCCTGCTTTCCCAACCTCGTTATTCATGGCTCCATACACTCCGGAATCTATTCTAATTTTTCCCAAAATATAGTCCGTGAGCACCAGAATTAGTGTCACCCGGGAGTGCTTGTGAAAAATCTGAGTCCTACTGACTCCGAATCGTTTAACAAGCACTTGAAGCCGTTCTGTGCACACTCTGGCTGGGGAGCCCTTGTCTACAGCCTCACGCTCCTGCCCTTCTATTTCACCTGCTCTTCTCCTCATCCACCGCTTCAAGACATTGTTCGCATCGCATCTTCTCCTTATCCTAAGCTGGATAAATCTCCCTCCTATCCCTGTGCTCTTAGCCCTTTACACAGCTCTTCACACACAGCTTTGTTTACAATGTTTGCTGTAGATCTGACTCTCCGGCTGATTTTGAATTCATTACCACCAGGAACTGTGTCTTTACCCTTTTCTCTCCATGTAACTCTACCATTTCTCTGTTTCTGACACAGGAATTTGTAACTGGCCACTTTTTACCTTCCCCTTTTCTGCCACTTAATGTACTTAGAATAAAAAAATACAGCTCACGCATCACAATTATGAAGACTTCCATTGGCCAAGTGTGTCCTCCTTTCCCCCAGGACTTGACCTATTTTAATTTATGTTTCCCCTGCTCTGGGTTTTAAAAGCTTGCATTTGGATTGTTTTATTTTATATGTTTGTGCTACAAGCTGCCTCAGATCCTTTCTGGAACAAGATAGGAGAGAAATAAATTATTCATTTCAGTATTCCTACCACCCTGGACGATGTCTGGCAGATAGAAAATACTCAATAACTGTTTGTTGAATTTAATCAAAGGAATAAACTTATGTGGATTCTGCGACACTATTTCACTCATTGCTTGGTAGACTTTTTGCTGATTCTTATCAGTGTTCAAGAACTAAAACTGCTAGGATTCTGATGGATTCAGTGCCTATTTCTGTACCAAATTTACTTGATTGCAGCAACCCAATTATTGCAATTTTCCACCTTGATACAAGTGCAGCCTATTTTGAGAACTCAGACTGCACATCCACTGGGCAATCTGGGAATCATATTAAAAGTTGGTGAATCAGTGGCCAGGAAATGAGAATGCAGCCAAGGACACTGCATCTCAGGGAACAAGGAGAAAGGAGTTCAAATGAGATCGCACACGGATGGAGCAGACGACAGGACACAGGAGGCTGCGGACAGGGTCCTGCACACTTCCGGAAATGGCAACAGACCAAGGATGAGGAGCTGGGGTCAGATAAGGACTTCTGCTGCATGACTATCCATCACTGTAGCGACCCCATGTGCTACTGGGAAGCTGAGTGTGCCCAAGCGCATAGTCAAACGTGTCAGCATGAAATTGCTGCATGATAAAACTATCATGAAGAGATGAGAAAAATCTTGAAAAAGAATATCACTTTTTATGCTCATTTTTCTTCAATTTACATCTAATGTTTCCTTAAGAAAAACCATCGTGCCCATTCTTATGTATTATATCTGAAGAAATAGCAGCAGTGCCCAAGACTTTTTAAATTGGAGAATTTTTTCCCTAAGAAACACACAAGCATGTGTAGTCTTGACTTTCAGTTGTCACCTCAACTTTCTAAACAAGTCCCCACGCTTCCAGTTAGCTATTTTCAAAGCAACACTCAATTGGAATTTTTTCCCCTGGAAGAAAAATGAAGGTATGCTAACCTATCAGTGGTTACACATAACCAACTACATGTAAAACCACGTGCCTAATTTAAATTTGTTTCAGACATATTTGCTTCAATCAAAAACATCAATTCACTGTGTTGACTCTAATCATATTTTTCTTCATGAAAACACAGCGAATCTGAGAGAATTCTTTGAATAACATAAAGAAAGGTGTTAATATTAAATAGATTAAAATGGTAAGTTTGTAGGCATGCATTTGGTTACATTGCTACCATGTGAAAACATGCAATGTGATAACATCTTGGTCCATTGTAATGAGATACGGCACTTTCCCAAATGCATTGGACAGAGGAACTGAGAATTAAGGCTTGGATCTGTGCTCTGGTCACCTCATCAGCCAAGGCAAGGAAGCCTGGTTAACCTGTCACCTGTGGCCAGATAGGGCAGATAGCGGCTGTGGTCAGAGGTTAGGTGTCAGCCCCTCTGTGACTGAGCTTCCTGCTCAGCTGCAGCTGCACTGAGAGCCAGGCGAGTCTCTGCTTGGGCACCCCAGCCCTAGGCAAATGCATCCGTACAGTGCGCAGGCCCCGCCTCCCACATTCGGAGCCATGAATCACACTCAGTATAGGGCAGAAACAGTAAACTCAGAGGGACCAGATGCTTGGCAGGAGGTTAGTCCAGCTGCTGGGAGTGTATTTGCAGGCAGCCTGAAATCATCTCTGCAGCCACCAGGCTCTCTGTGTCTTCCTTGAACAAGGGTTCTGCAGTTCCCCAATTTCTGAAATCTTATGACTGCTTCTGTTTCTTCTGCAGTGCTCCAGTTTTCCTTCCAAAGCCTCAATTCCTTTAGAAGAAGTCCTGATACCTTGTCAAACTTTGGCTAGCCACAACCCGGGGCCCATAGCTTGACTTGAAAACAGATGCGTTAATCCTCACCCCAAATTCCTACTAAAGGCCTGTCGTCCTCCCTGTAGTCCTAGACCTTAACAACTATCTTACCATGGTACCTCACGCCTCACAATTAAGCCTTTGTAATGTCAAAATCCTCATCATAATATGAGCTACCATTTCTTCAGCCCTTGTCTATACTAGGCAGTGTGCTAAGAACTAAGCATGCATGACTGTCTCACATGGGTCTCACCCTACCAGGATGAGTGCATACACACTCTCAACTTTACAGCCAAGTAAACTAAGGCTCAAAGAAGTTACGTAGCAAAAAAAAAAAAAAAAAGGGGGGCTGGGGATTTAGCTCAGCGGCAAAGCGCCTGCCTGGTAAGCGCAAGGTCGTGAGTTCGGTTCCCGGTACCGGAGAAAAACCAAAAAAAA